AAATGAAGCACCTATGTTGCTGATGCCCAGCGAGCTGCAGCAGCTGCCGTTGGCGCCGCTGCCCGTGCCGTTACTGGTCACACTGCTGCCATCTTTGACTCGGATTCCTGTTCCTGCAAACGTTTCCAGATTCCCGGCGCTGCTGGCAGGACCAAGGCATGGGAGGAGAGGCGCGTGTGTGTTGGACAGAGTTTGCGTGTTAATGGCGGCGCGTGCCGTCTGGGGTGGCAGGGAGGACATTTTGATAGCTTCGTCAGCGTCCGACTGGCATTCTGACGAGGAGGAGGAGGAGGAATCTGTTTCGATGAATTCTTTGGACTTAGGTGTGATTCTGGTGCTGGGACCTCTGTGCTTCCTCTTGTCCTGGAGAAATAACGGGAACCAGCTAAAGATGGCAAAAACAAGCTAATCATAAGATCATAACGTCGACTAGTTCAGACTTTATCCCCCCGTCTTTTCCTCACATGTCCGTCGTCTAACAGAATAAACCATCTGCCTCTGGAGCTCCATGAAGTCAGACAGTACTGAATGTGATAAACTGCAAATGAGACGGCGCGAGTCGTCAGCTCGTGCCACTAATCTGTAAAGTGAGACGAAACCCGCTTGGCTGTCTGATTTTGAATGTCGTCAACGCTGGGTGCACACGGCGAGCGAAAGGCCGTCTGTCACATGCGTATCCCGTTTCTTATCCCAGCTTCCCTCTGCTTTGTGCTCAATGAGGAAACAGCAGCCTGATGATGTAGCAGAGCAGAGTTCAGCGTGGGATCATTCCTAATATTCAGGAGTGTTTGTTGTGAGCCAGCAGATCATGTTATCTGATATGTTTCATGTTTTGATGAAAGATGAACTCTTTAGTACTTGTTCTCTGCAGGACTCTGAATTTCAGGGTTAGGGTGGATCCTTTCCCAGTGAGAGGAGGCCAGAAATACTTCTTGCCTGCATGAGACAGTGTGCACCAGGAAGTAATTCATGAGCACCAATAAGCACTGTTCCAAGTGCACGTTTCACTTTTCCTCAAGGAGTTCACAACTAGGAAGAGCTTCACAGCACAAACGCTGGCTTTGTGTCCACAGACATACGTGGAAGGAAGCAAGGATCCACCGTCAGTAAGAGTTCAGAGAACAAAACATGCATTTCAATCAAAGGGACATTACTCGTATTAATGGTTTCTTAGTGTAATTAGTCATTAGTGTGTGCTCAAAATCAAGAAACTGTTATGTCTCTCTCTCTCTCTCTCTATATATATATATAGAGAGAGAGATACAGATACACACACACACACACATACAGATGTATAGTTATATACAGGTGCTGGCCAGTAAATTAGAATATCATCAAAAGGTTGAAAATATTTCAGTAATTCCATTCAAAACGTGAAACTTGTACATTATATTCATGCAATGCACACAGACCAATGTATTTCCGATGTTTATTACGTTTAATTTTGATATTTATAGGTGACAACCAATGAAAACATCAAATCTGGTATCTCAGAAAATTAGAATATTCTAAAGGCCAATGAAAAAATGTTTGTTTCTCTAATGTTGGCCAACTGAAAAGAATGAACATGAAAAGAATGTGCATGTATAGCACTCAATACTTAGTCGGGGCTCCTTTTGCCTCAATAACTGCAGTAATGCGGCGTGGCATGGACTCGATCAGTCTGTGGCACTGCTCAGGTGTTATGAGAGCCCAGGCTGCTCTGATAGTCGTCTTCAGCTCCTCTGCATTGTTGGGTCTAGCGTATTGCATCCTCCGCTTCACAATACCCCATAGATTTTCTATGGGGTTAAGGTCAGGCGAGTTTGCTGGCCAATCAAGGACAGGGATACCATGGTCCTTGAACCAGGTGCTGGTGGTTTTGGCACTGTGTGCAGGTGCCAAGTCCTGTTGAAAGGTGAAGTCTGCATCCCCATAAAGTTGGTCAGCAGCAGGAAGCATGAAGTGCTCTAAAACTTCCTGGTAGACGGCTGCATTGACCCTGGACCTCAGGAAACAGAGTGGGCCAACACCGGCAGATGACATGGCACCCCACACCATCACTGACGGTGGAAACTTTACACTGGACCTCATGCAACGTGGATTCTGTGCTTCTCCGCTCTTCCTCCAGACTCTGGGTCCTTGATTTCCAAAGGAAATGCAGAACTTGCTTTCATCAGAAAACATAACTTTGGACCACTCAGCATCAGTCCAGTCCTTTTTGTCCTTGGCCCAGGCGAGACGCTTCTTGCGCTGTTTCTTGTTCAAGAGTGGCTTGACACACGGAATGCGACACCTGAATCCCATGTCTTTCATGAGTCTCCTCGTGGTGGTTCTTGAAGCGCTGACTCCAGCTGCAGTCCACTCTTTGTGGATCTCCCCCACATTTTTGAATGGGTTTGTCGTCACAATTCTCTGCAGGGTGCGGTTATCCCTAGAGCTTGTACACTTTTTTCTACCACATTTTTTCCGTCCCTTCGCCTGTCTGTTAATGTGCTTGGACACAGAGCTCTGCGAACAGCCAGCTTCTTTAGCAATCACAGGGTATATACAGCAATCCTTAAGTAAAATTTACTACTTTTTAATACTTTTTTTACTACCTTCAGAATTTTTTTAAAACCATCACAACACTAAATTGCAATTGTTAATCAGCGACCTATTTACACATATTTTAACATATATAACATACAAAAAGAATAGACTTAGAGACTCACTGATGTTGACAACGTATTGCACATATTTATTTTACTTAGAAAATAAGCCAGGCACTTCTGTTCAGCGGTTCAGACAGTTGACCACGAGGCCTGAAATGATGCACAACCACCACTGAATATGACGTCATCATTATGTGACCGGATATGCTAAAGTAGGGCTGCTCGATTATGGCAAAAACAATAATCACGATTATTGTGACTGAAATTGAGATCTCGATTATTTAAGACGATTTTTCAATTTATGTAGATTTTTATTTTTATTCAGTCATAAAACTGCTCAGGGCACAATCAGGGCAAAAATAAACAAGAAACAAGATGATCACTAAAATAACTCCTGATTACCAGTATAAAAAGACCAATATACTTATAGCTCATAGTTTATGACCCAAGGGCTATAGACCTTGGTTTAACTCATTTAAGTCTAACCAGTACAGACCCAAGTACCAATATCTTGCAAATACTGACAGCAAGAATTATACTGTGGCATTTATAACAAATACATGCAAATTGCTGTTCACTAAATGTTGCATAGCATTTATTGAGTCGTGTCAAGGTGCTGTAGGAGAGTTCACTAGCACCATGTCCTCAGAGAGATTAGTTATTATTTATCAGCGTGAGGAACTTATTTCTACCTTATTTATAAACTATTTATTTACAAGTCCATCAGTTAATGTAATAATTGTCCCAACCACAGCTGCACCCCCACCCCCCAACCCGGTCTCACAGCAGGGGCATGCTGCACGTGTGTTTAGCGCGCGCACGCGCACGCGCACATTTAGCCGTTTTTATCGGCTCAGGAGCCCGCAGGTGCGGTGTGTGTGTCACTCACTCTGGTTACTCCAACAAGGAGCCGGCTCCGAGAGCTGTCTTTAGCGACCGACACATCACTACATCATTCCCTTTCCTAATGTCCTGAAGAACGGTCCGGAGCGCAGGCGGAGTGTTTAGCTAACCTGCAGGAAATGTCGACGACAGTTATCCTGAAAGTAGCTAAGGGTTACCAGAGATGTTTCTGAGGTGTTCACTAGGTACTTTTAAGATTTAAAAAGTCAAGAAGGGGGTCTGAAAAGCTGCTAGAAATAGCGTCAAAGTCGCTAAGTTAACTTGGCAACACTGGGAGGAGCGCTTCATTTGCAACTCAAGGCAGCGCAAGTGGGAGGAGCAAATAATCGGCTTGTTTTGTTTTTATAATCGTTCAAAACACTTCATTCGGAATATATTTCTATGTCGATGTTCAGAATACGACATCTGATAGTCTGAAAAAAATAATACCTAATTTGGAAAAAATAATACCTCTGAGACCAAATTTAACACTTTTAATGGCCTTAAATTTGACTATTTTTATTTATCACTTTTTAATACTTTTTAAAACCCCGCGGACACCCTGAATCACCTTTTGTGTCTTGCCCTCCTTGTGCAAGGTGTCAATGATTGTCTTTTGGACAGCTGTTAAGTCAGAAGTCTTCCCCATGATTGTGGTGCCTTCAAAACAAGACTGAGGGACCTTTTAAAGGCCTTTGCAGGTGTTTTGAGTAAATCAGCTGATTAGAGTGGCAGCAGGTGTCTTCTATATTCAGCCTTTTCAGAATATTCTAATTTTTTGAGATACCAAATTTGGAGTTTTCATTAGTTGTCACTTATGAATATCAAATTTAAATGTAATGAACATTGGAAATACATTGGTCTGTGTGCATTGCATGAATATAATGTACAAGTTTCACGTTTTGAATGGAATTACTGAAATATTTTCAACCTTTTGATGATATTCTAATTTACTGGCCAGCACCTGTACATATGTGTGTGTGTGTGTACGCACACACACACACACATATGTATAGTTATATACATATGTGTGTGTGTGTGTACGCACACACACACACACACACACACACACACACACACACACACACACACACACACACACACACACACAAAATAAAAACATTAAAATGATTAAATGAATTAGGAAAGCAGGAAGTTTTAATGTTTTTCATTTTGTTTCATGACGTTTGTTTACTTTTTTCTCCGGGAAAGACAACTCTGCGCATGGTCAACCTATTTAATCTGATCTAATAACTGGTGCATATAAAGTCACGGCATGATCGGATCATTTTAGTTGGTGTACGTGTAAACAGAGATTCTGGATTTCCGATCAACCAAGATTTGAATCGGATTGGGGAAATTTGGCGCATGTAAACATGGCTAATGTGTATTTTTCCTGGCGATGGGGGGAGTACATACCTTAACCGTTACAAGCAAGTATTTTTGTGTTCCAGTAAGACTTTACCAACAGATGCCTGTTAGGGTCAAAAATCCTTGGGAGTGCAACCTCCATCAAACTGATAAACACATCAGACTCCCTCTCATCACTGGCAGTGAGTGAAGAGGTAAATGTGTAAAACAACAATGTTTATGAATGGTGAAAGTTTTGTAATCAGCACGCTCTTAACACACCACACACAGCAGGATTATCTGATAAGATTATCTTTAGAGCTATTGCGGTAAATGGGTGCATCCTTAAGACCGTCAGAAGAGGTCTTGTCTTGTGGACCTTAGTAAATGTGGGCCAAAGCTGCTTTACTTTAGCACGTTCTAGAGGGCGATGGTGGCACAGGAGTTAAGTGCTTGCCCCATAATTGGAAGGTTGCAGGTTCAAGTCTCGCTCAGTCTGTCGCTGTTGTTGTGTCCTTGAGCAAGACACTAAACTCGACTTGACTGCTTGTGGTTGTCGGTAGCTCATCCCCACCAGCGTGTGAATGTGTGTGTGAATGGGTGAATGACTGATTGTGCTGTAAAGCGCCTTGGGGGGTTCCAGGCACTTTACAACAGACCATTTAGAGACACTTTGCACGACTTTGGTGTTTTTACAAAATAAAAGCCTTTCTTCCTTTCAGCCTGTCTTATTGGTTTAGTCTTGTTTTAATGGTCCTGTCATTAACTTTCTCCTTTAACACGTTAGAGTCAAAGCAAACGTTCTCAGCTTTGTGAAGCGTCCCAAAGCCTGGTTACATCAAACCAATCAGACGGGACCGACTTTCTTTCCTTCTTTTATTTATCCAGTTTTCTACAGTTATTCTACTTTCTCGTTTTGAGGGTTTCGATTAGTAAAACCAGACCGTTTTGACCATTTTAATCATGACTTCCATTTAAAAGTCTTTTAAAAATCACATAGAGATTCAAACTGAAGCGACAGCGTGAGGACAGTCTGTTACACGTGTAGGACTCGGGGCTGAGCTGTTCTCCAGATGTTTATGAGCGCTGGAAACCTGCCCTGAGGTGTTTGAGTCATGCGCTCCAGTTGTCAAAACTCACACACACACACGCACACACGCACGCACGCACGCACGCACGCACACACACACACACACACACACACACATCCCCCAAACCTAACCTGGTTTATAGTGACAGCAGGAAGTGGCAAAGGGGCTGGCTGCAGCGCTGGTGGTGGAGCGGCCATGCCGCTGCTGGAGCTGGTGGTGCCACGAGGTTCTTTCCTCGGGGCCGTCTTCCCGCTGACAGGCTTGTTCCGTGGCCTTGGGGGGTTCAGGTGCTCCGGGGGAGGAGGAGGCAACAGGTCCCTCTCTCTCGCTGTGGGGCTATTTGGAGAAAACAAACACAGGAAACGTCACGCTCTGGATTAAGATTCACCCCAAAGCAAGAAATCGAAGCTGCCGGCGTGCAGCTGAACACAGCTGAACAGCCGAGCTTCATGTTTGTGTTGGCTGGGGGGGGGGGGCCTGAGAAAAATCAGAATGAAATAATTGAAAACAGCACAAATTCAGCTGAACTTGTTTGGACGTAGGAAAGTTAAGATGGAAAGAAGACAAAGAGGAAAATAAAAGAGGGAGCAGAGAAGACATTGTGTTATCCTAACTGGCCTGAAGTCAAGCGGCGTCCGACATTTGCTCCACTAAATCATCTTCTTTCTTCAACACTTGCATTAAATGACCATTTTAAATGTCTCGCTGCCAGGGGGCTCAGCAGAAACCTGTTCAGGTGTCCTGAGACACATCTGGGATTGTAGACCTCAAAGGAAGGTCGAGAGAAGTTAAAACGGAAGAACTAAGATGGCAACCATCCCAATAAAAGCCATAGGTCTCATCTGTGACTTTCTTTTTGTTGAGTTTCATTCTTCCATTTCCTTCAGAGGCCGAGAGAACAACGTACAGCTGTCCAGAAATCCTTCAGGTTAAAAGGCTTTTACATGAAACATGAAGTCAGTGGAAAGTCTGGATGCTGAAGAGATGAGAGTGGATTTCCTCTGGGAAACGGTGGACCTGTGACCTTGAAAGGATGAACAAGGATGGGGGTTAGATAAACAGATGGATAATGGACAGACAGACAGACAGGCAGACAGACAGACAGACAGACAGACAGACAGACAGACAGACAGACAGACAGACAGACAGACAGACAGGCAGGCAGACAGACAGACAGACAGACAGACAGACAGACAGGCAGGCAGACAGACAGACAGACAGACAGACAGACAGACAGACAGGCAGGCAGGCAGGCAGACAGACAGACAGACAGGCAGGCAGGCAGACAGACAGACAGACAGACAGACAGACAGACAGACAGACAGGCAGGCAGACAGACAGACAGACAGACAGACAGGCAGACAGACAGACAGACAGACAGACAGACAGGCAGGCAGACAGACAGACAGACAGGCAGGCAGACAGGCAGACAGACAGGCAGACAGACAGACAGACAGACAGGCAGACAGGCAGGCAGACAGGCAGACAGACAGGCAGACAGACAGACAGGCAGACAGGCAGGCAGACAGACAGACAGGCAGGCAGACAGACAGGCAGACAGACAGACAGACAGACAGACAGACAGACAGGCAGACAGACAGGCAGGCAGGCAGACAGGCAGGCAGACAGGCAGACAGACAGGCAGGCAGACAGACAGACAGACAGGCAGGCAGGCAGACAGACAGACAGACAGGCAGACAGGCAGGCAGACAGACAGACAGACAGACAGACAGGCAGGCAGACAGACAGACAGACAGGCAGGCAGACAGGCAGGCAGGCAGGCAGGCAGACAGACAGACAGGCAGGCAGGCAGACAGACAGGCAGGCAGGCAGGCAGACAGGCAGACAGACAGGCAGACAGACAGACAGACAGGCAGGCAGACAGACAGACAGGCAGGCAGGCAGACAGACAGACAGACAGACAGGCAGACAGGCAGGCAGACAGGCAGGCAGGCAGACAGACAGACAGACAGACAGACAGGCAGACAGACAGACAGACAGACAGACAGGCAGACAGACAGGCAGACAGACAGGCAGGCAGGCAGACAGACAGGCAGGCAGACAGACAGACAGACAGACAGACAGACAGACAGGCAGACAGACAGACAGACAGGCAGACAGAAGAATGAACAAACAGAAAGGAGCATAAAGATGGTTTGAGGGAAATGTGGAAGTGTGACGTTTATTCAGCAGTTATCAGTTTCAAAGCTGTGAACAAAACCTAATTATGGTTTGAATGAATCTGAAGAAGAAGAAGAAGAAGAAGAAGAAGAAGAAGGTGATGATGATGGTGGTGGTGATGATGATGATGATGGTGGTGGTGGTGATGATGATGATGGTGGTGGTGGTGATGATGATGATGGGAGAGGTCTGTTTCCTCCTCACCTGTGCTGGCTGGTTCTGCTCCATGTCTGGTTCGGAGTTTCTTCCACACTGGTTGACCTCTCTGGCCGTCTCGGCTGTTTCTTCCCAGTGGTGTTCCTCCTTGGGGTCGTGACCTCCTGCCCTGACAACAAGCCCGGCGACAGCCTGGTCTTTGACTTCTGACCCTCCCCAGAGGCCTTCTGGCTGAGCTTGACTTTGGCCTTCTCCCTGCCCGAGCTGCACAGAAACCAAGAGTTTACGTCACGACTACAGATGCAGCACACATGTGTCCCACGACGTTTGCAGCTCTAACACACACCACAGTGGTGTCCTCGTGTCCTTGTGCTCTACTGCAGGCACAGCTGGAGCTGGTGTACTGGTGGAACCACAGGACTTGGTCTTGGCAGCTGGACCACCCGCTTCAGTCTCTGGAGAGAACGTCTGTGGATCCTGGCTGACGGAGCCTTAAAAGAAGAGTTCTGGAATCAAACCAGAAGGTGATGATCTAGTGTTTTGAGTTTGTCTCCACTGACCTGTGCAGTTGTGCTCTGGCTGTGGGGTAACCAGGGATTTGGTCTGAGCTTGGACCTTGTTCAGCCAGCTGTCCAGCTGCCACTTGTTGGTAGAAGGGGGCTCCGGCTGGAGAAGCACAGAAACAACCTCATTAATAATTCCCCAGGCTCGTCTGCAGCTCCCATAGCTATTTTATCTCTGGGAGGATACCAGTGAGGCCTGGAACGGTGAAACTGTCTCATAAAAACCACCAAACAAGTAGCATTAAGTCTCTGTGCTGTGAGTGCTTCACTGCCATGATTTTCTTTCTCTTTATCTGCATTTTGCGCCTCTCGTTCTCCCAGCGTGCCAGCCTTCACAGGCGTGTAAAACCAGGCAGCGTTGAGCCATTAAAATAATGCGATAACTAATGTTTTAATTGGCTCCTCTGCAGCCGGGTTTCATGACTTTCAGAGCAGCGCCGGGGAGGAGACGGGTTGTTGTACCGACCGTCAGGCGCAGAGTGGAGTAAATAGTGAGGATGAATCTTCAACATTAACAACAACCCATGACCACCACTTTTTCATCGTGGAGTAAAACGCCTTCAGGCGCTCCGCACTGAGCGTTGTGTCAGCCTACCTCTGGAGTGTTGGTGCGTGAGGCCTGGTTATACTCGCTGTCACTGGAGCTGCTCTCAGACTCGTCGGTGTCAGACTCCGAGCTGCTCTCTGATTCGCTGCTGCTCCCCGATGCGCCGCTGCAGAGGACAGAAGGACACATGGAGCTGTTACAGCTTCACCAGACCAAAGATGGCTGACGAATGCAGCTACAACGGGAACCAAGTCTAACATCTTCAGAATGGGGATACTCAGTATTGGCTTTATTACCAATGGCCGATACACCGATGTTCTTATATTGATATACAGATATTGTCTGACTCTTAACTCATTCGCTGCCATTTTCTTACTGTGTGGGCGTCGGAACGAGCCCCTGTACCCCGAGAACAAACATCCCAGCTCTAAAGACGATCTTCATCCGCGTACGTCACGTGATCAGGAAGCAGAGCATCCATGTGTTAGGAGATCGTTTCGGGCCGCTGCTGTAAAAAAAAGTGAGGCGCAAACCGGAAAAGCTTCTGCCGATCACAATTCCACAACGGATTATGAAAGAACGGATAACACTCAAAACACGCGGCTTCTTCCTGATGTAAGAGGCGAGTCTCCTCTTTGTTTTGGTTGTTTTGGCGTCGACATCGTCATAGAGCGCAACGCTCAGTGACTCTTAAAAATACAGTGAGAACACTAAAAAACGCTGGCAGCGAAGGGCTTCTCTGATCAGGAAATGGATGGCAGTTGATGAGTTAATTTCCAAATAAACTAAAATATCTCAAAAAGGAAACCTCAGACCTGTCACATTTTGAAAGAGGAGGACTAGTTGAAGAGTTTGATGTACGATATGTGCATGGTATGTAAACGTTTCGCCATCAAAGGACTGAAAACCCATAACGATATTTTTCTATATTGAACCTTAATGCCGACATCGGCTGATATTAACAGTAGACCGATAATATCGGCCACCGCTAATGTGCAATAATGAACAAACTGTGTGGAGAAAGCAAAGATGATAATAATAGATTTTTTCATTTTTATTCAAACATTAAATAATTTGTACATCTTTATAAATCTGGGGGTGATACCCTCAAAGGTCCTGCTCTTGACTGCTGGGTACTTGCGGTAGGTACTTGTTGGTACCCTGGTCGTTTGGACCTTTTAGAGGTCAGTGTAGGATCGTTGGTGTCAAACCCGTACCTAGGTTACCAGAACTAAAAGAGACTTTTTTAACCTCTACCAGAGTATTCTCTAACTCCATATCAGAATTTTGTGGTTCCCCAACATCTGACATGCTAATCATGTCAACACCTGCAAGTCCTCCATTTATGTGTCGTCACTCCTGCTGTACAGTGTACACAAGATAAGCAAGCAGACCTCTTCCAACAACCTTAAGGATGCAACTGATTAACATAATGACTCTAAAGACAATCTTATCAGATGTTCTTGCCATGTGGGGTGTGTTAAGAGCGCTCTTGTCCCCTCGGAAGGACGGCACGATTGCTTCCATCATAAATTGGGGCTTTTGAAACATTTTGGGTAGCCTTGGCCCAACGCTTCTCCTGCTGAATGTTTGATTGGCTAATCAGAAAGCGAGGTGATGAAAGCACACTGTACGCTCCTCCTGAGCGACGTTTGTTTACCACAAAGTCACATTTGATCTTGAGAGAATTAAAATCGTTCACTCCTGCTGTGTGAACTGGTTTACCTGACTCACTCAAAGCCAAGACACAACAACACTCAGCTAAATGCTCTGTCTAAACTAAATTTGTTACCAAAACTTTTGGTTAAAGATATTTTTTAAGTCTTTAAACAAGACAATTGATTAATATTTTCCCGTCAGACACAGATGATCTCCTTACTTTGTACTTTAACATTTAGAATAATCTGAAATTTGAATTTTGCTGTAGCTTCGATCCTCCCAGCTGCTCTGGAAAGACGAGTCATCCCGTGTGCCTGACAGAACTGGGCTTCATTTGTAAGAACACCTTTTCTAAGTGAGTACTTCAGTATTTACGTCATGTTTCCACCAGCATCCTGATGGATTATCAGTGAAATGAACAACAGCTTACGAATATGAATGATGTGTGGTAATAAACATGTTTTCTTCACTGCTGTTCGGCGAAGCCCTGCTGTCGCTCCTGACTCACCCTGCCACTTATCCTCCATCATTGTCAGAGTTATTTAAAGTACCTGCTGAGTCGTACCTTTCTCTCCGCATCCTACCTTCTTATCTGGCTCTGGTGTTTGACGTTGCTTTGCTGTTCCTACTAAATGACCGGAAGACTGCAGAATAACTAAATACGTGGATTGGGTTCAGATGACAGATGTTCCGATATTTGGATATCTCTCCTCTGATTGGCTAACAGCAACAAACTCAACCACTGACTCTGCTGTGCAACACAGACGTTTTATCTCCACAAATAACACACACCTGGAGACGTTCTGTCATGAGGTGAAGTTGCTAATGCTAATGGTTAGCTTCTACCTGCTGTGAGACGTTGTGTGCTGTTTCCTGGACGCTAAACCAACAACAGTGTTCCTCGTTATGAGTCAAGACGGGTGAGTCCATGAATTTTGTGACAGGGTGACGTAGATGTGTCAGGATTTTTTAATCCTAGAGTTCTATCAGAAGCTAATGCAGGGGATAGGTGTAGGAGACTATTCTCATGTTCAGCCTGCATGAAAAACTCAGAGTCTGAATGTTTTCAAAAATAATCAGTGTGAAGTAATTTCTCAGTGAAGGACCTTATAAGGATATAGTAATTTCCTAACCTTGCGCTACAAGATGAATTCTCGCGAGATTTGGAGTTTTCTGAACTCAGGAGAATCCATCTTGGACCGCTCCAGTTCAAACCGTCTTTCCTCCGGCCCAAAATAGGCCGATCCAATCACGTGTCAGCGCTGTGCTGTAGGGTGGGAGTTAGTTTTGACGATAGTATCATGCGCCCGGGTGAAAAAAAAAGTATCATGCATTCGGTTAAGCAAAACAAACATGGCCACTCCGGTTGACGCTCACATAGAAACGGCTATTGCATCAGTGTTAGAGGAACTAAACACACCCTTTATGCACACATTCTCGCAACACCGTCAGAAATCACCCAAAGACATGGCAATTGCCACAAGAATGAATGAATGGTGCTTGAGCGAGTTGTTGTAGCTCCAGTAAACGTCATCTGAGTAGTTACTGTGGTAGCCGGTGCCAGCCAGGCACTACCTTGCGCGTCCTCCAGTCAGCCCAAACCTTTCTACCAGATGGCCCTCTCTCTTTCAGACGGTTGCTGCAGAGATTCCCGATCACAATGTGTAGACTCGACACGGGGCAGGACTACACATAGAGATCTGGCTGCTGCCAGGTTAGCAGAACAAAAACATGCTCATTCATGAATATTAACAAGCTCTAATTGCATGGTACATGATCCTAAAACACAAATTCCAGAAAATGTGTGTTCAAACTTTGGCAAACATTTAGGACTTCTTTAATATGTTGAACCTGGTATTTTGTTTCTGGGGCTCAGCTCGAGAACCTGAACCACCCTGTAAAGCTGCTTCATCCCGCGGCTGCAAAGCAACAGCCAAGGTCATCGGAGAGATAGCAGGGACATTAGGAAAGGTCAAATAAGCACAGAACATTTAGAGGATGACAGTCATTTTGTGCTTGGAAACATTAAAAAGCCCTGGAAGAAAAACATGTAGCACCATTTAGAGAGGAAGACGCATCAGAAAGTATTTATTTGAAAATCTACTATAAAGATGACTTTTCATGAAAATAAACATCATCTTTTGTGGGGTGACAATTAGTAACAATGTAAATGTTCTGGCCATTTTCCTTTCTACACTAGAGACATTTGGACCACGGACAAGGTAGTTCACAGCATGTCCAGCGACCTGGTAACAATCATCTATCTACAGTAGTTAGCCAATTTTCTTTGCAGCATTGATCTACTTTGTTTGACAACACTTACACGTTTTGTTCACCAATCAGGTGATGTTCAGAACTCAACTAGGAACCGCCAAGGCTTAAACCTGCCAGGAACTGAAGCCCTGTGGTGACACCAGTGTCTCTGTCCTTAGCAAAACCAGTTTTATTCATCACGGACCGGGAAAAGAAGCTCCTGAGTCAAGGCGAGGCTTTCAAACCTCAGAACACTGTCACAACTGTCAGACAAGGTGGTGGCATCATGCTATGGTTCTGCTGAACAAAGCGGATGGAGTAGCTTCATATTCTCCAACTTTACCAGAAACCATCAACTCAAACTTGGACCCAGTTGGGTTTTCCAACAGAACATTGGCCCCAAAACACATCAAGACTGGTTTCTGATAGGATAAAGCAGGCTGACCTAAAGCTTCTGGAGTGGACTTCCCAAAGAACCTAAACCCTATTGAGAAATATGCCCAAAAGCCAAGTTCTTTGCATGAAACCAACCAATAAAAAGCTGTTATAGCAAATCTGCAAACAAGCTACACGGTCCCAGAACGCTCACCCCTTCGCTTGGGTATCTTCACTGAGGGCTTCTGCCAGAAACCGGAAACCACATTGCCAGAGGAAACAAGATAGCGCCAAACACCTGTCTCCAAAGGTGCAAATGCCTTGTTGTCCGTGACTTGAAATGGTGATTTTCTTTTTGGGACTAGTTTGTCCTACAGTGGCAGCGGTAGCAGCCAGCTGTTTCTTCTTCTCTGACATTACTGAGTGGAGAACCTCTCACACCGGTGGTGTTCTGTTGCTAAATACATGAGTGTTTGATGAATGGAGGACTCTGGGAGGTGTGGAAGTGCGGAAGTTCGGCAAGACGGACGACCAGATGGTCCCATGGTTGCTTTTTAGAAAAATCCAAGAAAATCATGGAGTTTTTTTTTAAATCTCCATAATATATTTAAGGCTGTTAAGAGGCATGAAAAATAATTTCCAAACTTGCCGTTGTAGCTTTAACCAACCTCTACCACTTCTGCCTAGAAGGCTGATCCAGAATCAGCCAGGTAAATCTTAATACATCAGAAAGGCTAATGCCTAAAGAAGTCATGAAAAACGGAACAGTTGACAACAATGTGAATTAAGTGGTCGTGACAGACACATGAACCCGCTCTTTTGTGTTATCCTGCGTGCTTCTTCTTCTGCCCTCGTCTTCATCCATCCTTCCTCGCCGCTTTAAACGGCCTCCTGCAGGCAACCTGCTCGTCCTGACTGAAGAACACACACAAACACACGCTCACACGGCAACACAGCAATTATGTGTAGTTCTCTTTGTGTGAGTGTGCACGCAATTCCAGTTCAAGGCTGCCATCACAGCAGGCACCAATCTGTGTGAGCAGTCAAGCAGCAAATCCATCAACTGTTCCTCAGGCAACACACACACACACACACACACACACACACACACACACACACACACACACACACTGACAGATACTGTATAAATGCCGTCTCTGCCTCGTGTTTCTTCCATCATTACTCATCTATTGGAAGTCTCAGCCTTTCCTCCATCTTTCAATTCCAATTAAATTTTCTCCTCACTTTGCTCTATTAGCATTCCAGATGAATCAGTAACGACAACGCTTTAAGTTAAGCCTCATCTGTAAACGTGTGTGTGTGTGTGTGTTTTACGCAGACACTGCTCCACTAAATCACCGTCGTTCGCCCTCTCAAGGACACAATAATTCCGTGTTTATTTTTATTTTAATGACTTTTATTGTAGAATAATTTTTTTTACTGTTAAATATATTTACCCCTAGCTTTTTCTACAATAAAGACACTTTCTTTTTAAATATTATCTCTAAAGAGCCACGGTGCTGTGAGATTTATGCCCCGTGTTTAATATCAGAGCTGCCAAAAGGCCTCGCTGATTACTTTTATTTCACCGTGGGGAAAAAGATGGATGCAACAAAACACGTTCAGGAACAAAGCGGGCTCCTGAAGCGCTGCCTATCACTAAACACAGCAACAGGAGTGTAACACTGTGATTATAACATTTAGAGGAGCTGGTTTTAAACCACATTAAAGGGGTAGTTCACATCTTTTCAAGGTTTTTTGAAAATATTTAGTTTGTTTCCAGGGGTGTGACCAAATGCCTTAAATAAACGCTTGAGGGGGGCGTTTATTCATGCACCTTGTCTTCTGTGAATTTACAAGGTGATGAATGTGGGTTTTACAGGCTGAACTCCTAGTTTGATGCAGACTTTCAGACACAGCAGCACTTTTAAACTGTTCTCTCTGATCATCAGACATGGAAGTAAAACAGAGCAAACGTGATATTTACCGTTAGTAGATTTCAGTTTGAGTGCATTTCAATAGCGACCGACGTGAGTTTTCTCCACAGGGTGGCCGGGCTCTCCCTCAGAGACAGGGCGAGGTGGCTCGGGCATCTGGTCGGGGTGCCTCCTGGACGCCTCCCTGGTGAGGTTTTCCAGGCACGTCCAAATGGGAGGAGACCTAAAGGAAGACCCAGGACCTGTTGGAGGGACTACGTCTCTCAGCTGACCAAGGAGCGCCTTAGGGTCCCCCGGAGGAGCTGGCCCCAGTAGCTGGGGAGAGGGAAGTCTGGGCCTCTCGGCTCAGGCTGCTACCGCCGTGACCCGACTCCGGATAAGCGGCTGAAACTGGATTGATCGATAAATTTCAATACTTTTCCAAGACTTCATATTTTTTGGTTGTTTTTTATACACATTATAGAAGATATTGTTTTTAACTTCTTTTTAAGATTTTTTAAGACTTAAAAAAATGAGGCTGAACAAATTGCACCTGTAACTAATGAATGTTTGTGTTTTGTGATCTAAATAGAAATAAATCTTACATCAAAGGCTAAATGGGTCTAAACTGTAAAACTGATGGTTATTATGGTATGGTAGAAGTCAATCTGCTATTGTTACATGTTTGTTTACATGAGGATTATTATTTTTTTGGTTGACAATCTTATTTTATATAGATGTCCAAATACATTTAACACTTAACAAAACCAACGTAAGACTGAATAATTTTTGAGTCTCAATTTTACTTAAATCATTTTTTCAACTTTTAATTCTTACAGTGCCGGCCCGTCCATAGAAGGTGCTGGGGCGCTACCCTCCCTGACTTAAAGGCAGAAAGAAACCCTAAAAAGTAAATAAAACTACAATAACGATTTAAATATTGACTATAAATTTGGTAGATCTGACAAATTATGTGGGCTTACATGCAATCTGAATTATTTTCAAGAGCTGTCTCTAATTAAACCCTGAAGTTCCTCCACTACACTACACTACACTACACTAGTTACTCTCCAGGGGCACTGGGACAAGGGCCCCTGGACTGCAGCTAGCCAATCACATTTAGTTGCTAGGGAGAACTGGAGAATTTAGGGCCAATCAGCATCCGTGAATTGAATGGCTGATTCACCGTACTCAAATCTTGTGTGCTTGACAAATATGTTGTTGGAAGGTACAGCAGAAACTGAGTCTGGGAGGATGAGGACAGCGTTTTGAACGACGTCAAGGCAACAAGTGCTGCTTTATGCTATTGCTAAAGAAATGATCCTGACATTAATAACAGTTTTTGTTAACAAAATAACAATGAATGTGTATTATTTGTATCATAGTCGGTCCACTTTCAATCAAAATGGATAAAATTGGCATTTTGTGCTGTTAAATGAAGAAGAAAGTATATTTTTCATCAAAACAGAGCTATTTAAGGCTGCTTTTATTTTGATAGAGGGTTAGCTAATTAGCATATTGTAATGTCATGAAAAGTCAGAAAAACAAGCAAACACACACAGCTAATTTTACAGGTCACACACATAAATGACAGCTTTATATTTATCCATTTAGACTTAATTATTTGTATTTTTGACAGAAAAACCTTACAGTAATGAGTTTTCTCTCATTTTTGTTTGGAGCATAACAGTTTCTGATGCAGTGCATTATGGGATATCTTGACAACCCATCTGCTAAATGATGCATTGATGCAGGGTTGATGACGTTTCACAAGTACAGAGCACACGAGGTCAGACACGTATATTGAGAAACGGTCGTTGTCAGATCAGTGTCTGATAGAAACATGGGTTTAATACAATTTACTCTTCATCAGAACCCTCAGCATACGCCAGGACGTCTCTCTGAGGTTTCCAGCTGATTTGACAACAGGTGAGGTGTCTTTTGGACAGATTGTTAAACACAGAGTCAGTTTTTACAGAAAAGGCCAGATGATGTAATTGCTGCTGGAACTGACGCATCCAAGATTCCTGCGGCGCCCCTTCCTGCCTTTAAAGAATCTTTATATGTATGTGAACCGAACATCCAGAGAGCAAATCAGCAGGGCAGCTTTCTCTCAGAGGAGACTCATTCATGCTACTGATTCAAATCTGAAGGCGTCGGACTCTGGCACAACCTCGGTTTAGCATTCTTCGTCTAAGAAGTGGCCGTCTGCTTTAACGTCGTGGTTAGCAGCAGTCGTTGCATCCAGCCAACTGCTGCAGCTCCAAACGCGCTTACATTAAAAAGAGCAGCTATAAAAATTACTGAGGCTGTGAGACAAAGGCTCTTTTATCAAAGCAAACTTGGACTTTTTTTCTTGGCTGCTGACTTATATTAGTGGTGTAGTGTTCCTACATGTGATTAATAATACCACTTTACATGGATTCTCAGAAAAATCTCAGAGGAAACAAAACAACTAAAAAACAGGAATCTGAACAGTTTAAATGAATAAAAGCTCATTTAAAGGTTTGAAATACTTAGACTCGTGTGAAAATGTTTATTAATTGTGTCCAAAACATTTATTTCAGTTCAGTTCAGTTCAGTTCACTTTACTTCAAACATATACATTCACCAACATTTCATAAAATCATTCCACGCAATTGTTTGAAAAGGAGTAGGGAGAAGTGTATACTTATGTAGCCCTACCCCCTCAGGTTTACATCCTCATCATCAAAATGTAAACAACAAAACAATTACAATGCCTAAAAAAAAACCACAAAAAAAAAAACCAAAATAATAACAATAATAATAAATAAATAGAATTCTCATGTTCAACTAGAACTATATTTAGATTTTCTAATTTGTATTTAAAACAATTATTGGAAACACTTCCTTTTACAGTCCCCTAATTACTAAGTACTTGCATGGTTAGGGTTACTGTCGGCCCATTGACGATTCTCAGTCGTGGGGTGGGATCTATGGTTGTCTTTCAGCCTATCCCCACACGGATAACAAACAATGTGACGTACTCAACACTTTTGCATGTTGTCAACAAGGCGGTCCACCATACTCCATCAAAGAAGATGCAAATACATCCTTTTTCAAAATAAACTTCAGTACCTCTATCTGCTCTTAGGTCAAAGAAAAGTAAATAATCCAAAGTTGATGCAAAAGCCATTTCAAACGAGCCATCACCAACAGAGTGCTTTGATTGGCCCACCAAACCAATGGAGTGCTGTGATTGGACCGCTATGGATGTCAGTGAACAGGGCAGTCGGCCATTACATCGTGGACGAAGTAGGGAAGAAGATGCAAACACATCGTTTTTCAAAATAATAAAAATACAAACGCACAGCGTGGAGATAAGTTTCGCTGTTGCTTCTACCAAACGGACACTAGGGGGTGCTGAAAGCACCTAATCTCCCTTTAAGAAGAAGAAGAAGAAAATATCTTTTCTATAGCGCCTCTCAAGATAAAAATCACGAGGCGCTTCACAAAAACAAAAAATGTAAAAATATCAAAAATAATTTAGAAAATTGTTAAAAATATATTTAAAATGAGCAAAAAAATAGACAATTGTGATTAAAAATGTAACGCGAGAGAGAGGTTGAATAGATAAGAGGGAAATCAGTGGATCCTGAGGAAGGAGAGCAGAATAAAGAGAGAGAGGTGAAGAAGGTCATACAAAAGCCAGCTTGAACAGGTGAGTCTTCAGCTGCTTTTTAAAGGAGACCACTGAGTCCACTGATCTCAGGCTCAGGGGGAGAGAGGTCCAGAGTCTGGGGGCCACAGCAGCAGATGATCCGTCACCTTTGACCTTTAGCCTGGTGCTGCACAACCAGTAGACTTTGATCACTGGACCTCAGGGACCTGCTGGGGGTGTAGGGACTAAGAAGATCACCAGTGTAAGATGGTGCTTGTCCATGTAAGGCCCTATAGACCAGAACCAGGATCTTGAAATGAACCCTGAAGTTGACTGGCAGCCAGTGAAGCTGGAGGAGAAGCGGGGTGATGTGGGTGTGTTTGGAGGACTTGGTCAGAAGCCGAGCACAGGCGTTCTGAACCACCTGTAGACGGTTCAGGGAGGTTCTGCTCAGACACGTGAAAAGAGAGTTACAGTAGTCTAAGCGTGAGGAGATGAAGGTGTGGAGAACTGTCTCAAGTTCAGAGCGGGACAGAATGGGACTCAGCTTAGCAACGTTCCTGAGATGGAAGAAGGAAGAGCCAACAAGAGAACTGACATGAGAATCCAGGGTGAGAGCTGGGTCAAAGGTCACGCCAAAATTCCTGACAGAAGGTTTGGTGTGGGAAGCAAGCTGACCAAGAGAGTCTCTGACTTTGGGAACCAGCTTGTCTGGGGCACAGATGAGGATCTCAGTCTTATCTTCATTCAGCTGAAGAAAGCTCCCACCATCCAGGTTTTGATAGAGTCTAAGCAGGTGTGTAACAGCTGCAGCTTAGACATCTCATGGGGCTTAAAGGAGATGTACAGTTGGATGTCATCTGTGTAAAGATGGTAGAAGATTCCTTTGAAGGAGCTCAGGATATGCTGAAGAGGAAGCAGATAGAGGAGGAAGAGCAGAGGCCCCAGCATAGAACCTTGTGGGACACCATGGGTAAGAGAGGTGGTGGAGGTCCTAAACTTGGAGACGGCCACAGAAAAGGAGCGCTCAGAGAGATAAGAGGAGAACCACTCCAGAGCAGTTCTATTTTGTCTAGTCTTAGCCCTTAAGCTAGCTGCTATTGGAAGGATGATCTCAGCATCAGCCAATCATGAAGAGCTTAAATGTACGCCTACCAATGGTGGGCACCCCTGTGGGTATATAAGTGGAGCGACTCCACTGTTCGCCTCCGTTATCTCTTCAAGCCAAGCTTAAGAGCTTCCTATAAAGAGCAATTATCCAAGAAGCATTATACTCACCTACCATGTCCAGCGACGCCAGGACCTGCCCGGCCTGCCAGACGGGTTCCATCTCCAGCGGCGACCTGCACGCCAAGTGTGAAGTCTGTCTCGGGACTCATCACGCTGGCCTGGCCTTGACCCCCCAGGCCTCGTGCCCTTTTTGTGCTGCTCTGTCCGTGGCTGAAAAGATCGAGTCGGGTCGAGTACTTCACCTCCACCACCGCCACCGAGGAATTTCCGGTGGCTGACACGTACTCGATGGACAAGGCCTTACAGTTCTTCAACGTCGGCCAGGAGCCGGCTGGCTTCAACCGACTGGATGATGCCATTGACAGTGAGGAGTACGACGAGGCTGGCTGCCATAGCCCTTCTTCCCTCCTGGACAAGACGGAGGTCGACGAGCCTCGCTCAGCGGGTCCTTCTGCTCCCGTGACTTCTCGCTCCTCCCTGCCAGCAGTTAGAGCACTGTTCCAGGAGCTGCCTGCCATCATCTCCGCGGCTGCAGTCCGCAAGGGGCTAGCCGTGCCAGAACCGGCTCCGCCTGAAGCAGATGATTTGGCGGGAATTTTCGGGGCAACACAGACACACTGTCCAGACCCCATCTGGCCGCGCTTCCCCGCTGCCATGAGCTGCTGGTCCGCTGCCTTCTCCGAACCTGCTAAGCTCAAGGTGCCAATTTCCACATAAGCGCCCATTACCAAGGTCGAGGGCTTCTCTGACCAAGGCTGGCCATCCGTATTTGGCCTCGCTGTTTGGCGCCAAGAACCACCTCGCTGGGCCGCAAGCAGTTCCCGCTTCTAAGCATGAGCAGCTGCTGACCCGGCTCACTGATCACGCACACCAGTGCGCCTTCCAGACCGGCGCTGCAGGAAATAACATTGCCCTTCTTGCCTTTGGCGTTTCCAAAATGGTGGAAGAGCTTGACGCTCCTGACGAGTCAAAAACCATCATTTCTAAAACTGCTGATGCCATTCTCAATCAGTGCGCTGCTGTACTCACCGGTTCTGTTCGCACTGCTGCCTGGCAGACCCTTATCCAGCGGGCCTTGTGGCTCAAGGCCCTGCCCTCCATTCCTGATCACCTGCACAGGGAGATGCTGGAAGGCCCCATCACCTCTGACGTTCTGTTTTGTCCCCATCTTAGGAGCGTCATCAAGAGGGCTCTGAAGACAGCTGAACTGTCAGCCACGTGCGAGACCTGGTCCACCCTCGGTCAGCCTCGCACTCCGGCCGTTCCTCCAGAGGATGGGACGAATAGCGCGGAAACTTCAGGCGCCCAGCTGCACCCCCCATGGAGGCCTTCTCCAGGCGGATGGGATAATCAAACATCCTCCAGAAATAGGCCAACGGCTGTGGGTTTGGTCGCTGAGCGGTCACGCTTAGAGGTTTCTGGGCTGCCGCATGATGTGGTCGCCACGATTCAGAGTGCGCAGGCGCCTTCTACCGTCACATCTTATGCTGCTAAATGGGCAGCTTTCCAGAACTGGTGCACAGAGCGGAATGTTCAAGCGCTCTCCTGCCAGCTGGCGGATGTCCTATCGTTTCTGCAGATACTGATGGACAGGGGCCTCGCATTCAGCACTGTTAAGACATATGCTGCAGCTATCTCATCCTGTCACCAGGGTTTTGGAGATAGATCTGTTATCAATCATCCCCTCACAAAACGTTTTCTAAAAGGTGTCAGAAGGAACAGACCTGTGTCCCGCCCGCTATTCCCCCAGTGGGACCTAACGGTGGTTCTGCGCGGCTGATCTGAAGCCCCATTTGAACCCTTGGACCAGGTCTCACTCAAGTTTCTGTCACTCAAATTCCTGTCACTCAAAACTGCCTTGCTGCTGGCGCTGGCATCAGTCAAGAGGGTGAGCGACTTAACCGCCCTCTCAGTGGCTCCCGCATGCCTCAGGATCCGGGAGGATGGCGGGTCTGCTGTTTTATGCCCCAACCCAGTCTTTGTGCCCAAAAGCATTAATACTTCCTTCAAATCCAGATCAATTTCATTGGCTGGACTTTTTCCTCCTCCCCATAATTCTGAGGAGGAGGCGGCTTCCCATCTTCTCTGCCCGGTGCACGTGCTCGCGCGATATGTGTCACGCACTTCAGGGATTCGTCGCTCACAAAGCATGTTTGTGCACTACAGAGAGTCTTCCCTTGGTCAAGCGCTGTTGGCCCAGCGCCTTTGACTCTGGCTGTGTGACGCCATTTCCCTCGCTTACACATCATCAGGGCGGGATCCTCCTGAGACACTCAGGGCTCACTCAGCCAGAGGGATTTCCTCTTCTATGGCGCTCCACAGTGGTGTGTCAATGGAAGTCATTTGTCAGGCTGCTTCATGGGCTTCACCCTGTTCCTTTACTCGTTATTATTTACGAGATGTGTCTTCAGGATCCATCACTCGTTCATTGCTTGGATCTCAGCAGGCTGAGTGAAAGCATTATGGCACCTCATCAGCCACAACCTGAATGACTTTCATCCTCTTGTGGATGATATTTTTAGTGGGGCCTCACTCTTATCTCTGGCTGCCTCAGCCTTTTAAGCCCTGGGCTGAGGCTGAGTGACCCTCACTAAAAGGAGACTTGTTGGGTGTGTCCATTGGTTGAGCTAACCAGTGTGGCGTAAACCCATCCAGCTGCACATTATTCCAATAGCAGCTAGCTTAAGGGCTAAGACTAGACGAAATAGAACGTTGGTTACGTATTGTAACCCCAGATTCTATGAGTCTAGTCGCAGCCCTTAAGCCACTGGCCCCACTGGTTCTGGTAGGACTAAGAGCCATCGGATGCGAACAGTGGAGTCGCTCCACTTATATACCCACAGGGGTGCCCACCATTGGTGGGCGTACATTTAAGCTCTTCATGATTGGCCGATGCTGAGATCATCCTTCCAATAGCAGCTCGCTTAAGGGCTGCGACTAGACTCACAGAATCTGGGGTTACAATATGTAACCAACGATCCTGATAGGCCTACCCAGTCTCTCAGCCTCTCCAGTAGCAGGTGATGGTCAACAGTGTCAAAGGCTGCAGTCAGGTCCAGCAGGACCAGAACAGAACAGAACCCTGCATCACTGTGAGTCAGAAGGTCATTAGAGACCCTAAGAAGAGCTGTTTCAGTAGAATGAGCTCTACGAAAACCTGACTGGAAGCTATCATAGATGTTATGTTCATCAAGAGCAGCTTTAAAAGACAACTGAGGTCTATTTTTCAAATGCTGACATCTTTGTCCTGAATACTGGATTGTTTTTCTTAGTTGGCAGTGTGATGTCCATGATAAGCAAGGCAGGAAAACTCAGCTTGCTGATATTTATATACGCACTGAACTGTAGAAAAATGTCCGTTTTCTGTCACAGTCAGAGATTCTTCATTGGTTGCAAGAAGAAGAAGAAGAAGAAGAAGAGCTTTCTGGACACTTTCATCTGTTTGCATCGTCAGGATGAGCATCGATGTCCCTCGCTAATCAACTCACACTGTCCATGAGAGGATTAGGAAAGGTGATGTCTGGGTTTCACCAGGATGCAGACCAAAGCAGCCAACAGAAGATTTGGTGATTTTAATCTGGTTGCACAAAGATTTTTGTTTTGAGTGTGTTGTTATTGAGCATTGATGTCAACATGTCTCTTTAATGCAACAAGAACCCTCTTGTAATAGTGTGCGTTTAATAGCGCACGTTCCATATCTGCTGCTCGTTCAACAAAAGATCAGGCTGACGGGACGTAGGAGGAGAGTTTATGGGTCCCTCACTGATGTGTTGTTCTCACAAAGCAGAGTTAAAGAAACGTGTCTTTAGGTCTAAAGGGATTCTTAGCTGAGCGCTCGCTGGCCTGCTTCAGTCTGGCAGCAGAAACAGCCAGTGTGTGTGTGTGTGTGTGTGTGTTGCATCTGACTTGTTCGCTTTCCTCCTTCAGAGGAATCAGTCAGCAGCCGTCACAAATAATCTAACGCTGTTGTCGAAGCCAAATGAAAATGCAATGCCAGCTGGTGCTGACTGATGGCGCAGCTCCCGCCTGGACATTCTGGGTCCATCCCAACCATCAGCTGGAGTGAAGACATCCAGGAGGGTTGGTGGCCTGATGGACGGAGTGGAATTCTAAAACATGGTAGCTCTCTGTGGAGGGGTCGCTCTTTAAACAGCCTACGTTCAGACAAATAGGTATTAGTTTGGACTGGATTGATGAGCTAGCAGCTAGTCACAGGACAGCGAATCACAAAGAGATTTTTTTCCATCCTTAAACAATTCTAATGTCCAACATTTCCAAATGAGCTCTCCTGGATGCATTGAATGGTTATATTATAAAACCCTGTTAGGAAGCATTGTGGCCCTAATGGGGTCACATGTGGCTGTGCTTGTGCAGGTGCTCGCTTGCACTTGCTGGAGACCAACGTCTGAGCGTTCGTACCGGGTGCCTGGGCGGAGCTGACGTTTAAAGAGAGGGAGCGGCAGCTGCACGTCATCGGTTCATCAGCGGGTCAGGGGAAGCGGCAGCTGCGGCGCATCAGCTGATTCGGCGGGACTGCTTCAAAAGGAGATGGTGAACACAGCTCGAAGCCGGATGATTACAATGACTTGGTGGTACCAGCCTTCGTTTCTCACTCTTGTGATTTTCTCGTATCTAAGTCTCAGTGTGTTTTTGGATCGTGTGTTTTTGGATCGTGTGTTTTTGGATCGTGTGTTTTTGGATCGTGTGTTTTTGGATCGTGTGTAACCCGAGTGTGTTTCAACTCACCAACCTCAGGCTCTTCACTCACCTGGAACTACTCACCTGACCTCCATAGGACTTCTGGACTCCATTTTCCAGCCACGTTCACCATCCGCCTCCCGACCGACCTGCTCTCACCCTCCGAACCTGCGCTCCCTCTCCAGCTCAGGAGATCATTCCACCAGGAGCGTCCGCAGCTCACTTCCTCCCTCCTAAAACCTCTGACCAAGTCATCTCCTGCAAGTCCCCTCTCAATATTCCTCCCCGAACTGTTAGCTCTTGGACTCACCTCTGGTTTGCTCTCCCTCAGACCCGGTTCCCGTTTCCACCGTCCAGATCCGCTGACGTTTTCAGCGCGCCCTCGGTTTCATCCTTTAAAATAAATTCTGTTTTGCTTACCTGCCGTGTGTGTGTTTGTGTGTGTGTGTGTGTGTGTGTGTAGTGGTGATTCTGCATGTCTTGGGTTAGACTAACTCCCAGAAACATGACACAGGTGCAACAAGCAACAGGAGAAAGAAGGATAAATGACCCAACTTACAGCTCCTCTCTGAGTCGGAGGACTCCTACGTGCTTTACACTACAGTCACTCATCCATTCACCGAGCCGTCGTCACCAAAAATCTAATCAGGCGTTTCATCGATAGGATCAAAGTTATCTTTCATTACACATCAGCTCTCCTTAACTACAAAAGTGAGCGTGGTCTCAGGACCTGTATGATACATGTTATTAGAGCTGTTTTTAAACAGGAGCAGCCTGGTGCTGCTTCTGTTTTCAGTCAGGACTTCACTTTAAAGGATCCGTTTAAACGTGTTTTATTAATAATGACGATGCGTAGTGATCTGTAATTTCTCACTGAGCTCCGTGAAAATATTCACTGTGGTTCATTGATCTTTTTGTCCTTTACTTTATCCTAAGTTGACGTATTAAACACCCTATTTCTAGCATATATTGTATTTTATCGATGCATCACAAACATCCCATTCATGGTGAAGTGAAGGCTAAATATTTACCGTGCTTTACTCCTGTGTGGATCTCCTCTGTGACACATCCAGCCAGTGGAGCTGGTTTAGGCCTCCAGTCTATGTGCCCGCGTCGATGTTGCATAAGTAACACAGATAAGACTCACAGAGCAGCCTTTGTGGGCTCCTCGGGCTCCAGCGGGGGATTTGGTGTCTGTCTGCTTATCCGTGTGATGAAATCACAGCCACAGCAGGGGAAATGAAAGCCGTTACAAGCGACTCCACAAAACGATCCTTTGGTGTGATACGTCCAGTGGGCCCCACCACAAGATCCGCGCGACGGCAACATTCTTAAAGGCGGCAGCACCTCTGAATAGTTTAGAGCAGCTGGAACCGTCAACGGGGCCGGAGGAAGAAGTGCTGTTATTCATGTTTCATCAGACGACGACAGCCGTGTTCCCTTCAGCCACGCTGCCAGTAAAAGCGCTGGACCGTAACATCGAATACTTTAGAAATCTGGCTGCAGAGAAGCTGTTAACAGTTATTAAAAACTGAATGAATTCCAGCAAATTAGCCAAATGTCAACAGTATTAAATGAGTCACTTAGCACCGTTTTGTGATTAAAAATAAACAAATTGCTGCTCTGTGCTCTTTGTGTGCCGCCATCGAACTTTTCTTCTTCTGCTATTAAACAGTAATTTGTGACGAAATATCAACTTTTATGGGTAAATGTCATTCAGGCAGCCTGGAGAAGGAGCAGGACGGCGTGCTCGGTGAGCGCAAGAGACGTCGGATTGATGCTAATTAACAACTGACAGAGCTCCAGGGTGAGCACGAGTGACACACACACACACACACACACACGCACGCACGCACGCACGCACACACACACACACACACACACCATGCTGATATTTAGTAAACGTCGCTGCTTTGCTCTGATTTTATTTCCTCGTTACAAATGTTCTCATGAACATTAATTACATGACTGTGAATCTATTGTTCAGTAACTAATTAAAACAGATCCTGTGATGTTGCTCGCATGCAGAGCTAAGATGTGTCATGGTCTTGTTTCATGCTGCATAATGAAGATGATGATGTCAGAGCATCAGCTTCCTGGTGAAAACAAGTCCTTCTACACTTTACCCGAGTTCCTGCTGAAGGACTTAGAACATCACCGCTGTGATGAGGAACTCACCTGCCTTCAAACCCATTCAGTGTCAAAGAAATATGTAAACACACTTAGATCTGCCACCTTGTCATCATTGTATTAGAAGAAAAGAAAAGACCAGCTGATATTAATCAGAAGGTCACCTGCTGACAGGGGGGCTGCTAGAGATGTTGGGCCCCATGAAAAAATAGCA